AGAACCGGCGCCCAGCCGGGCCCAGGATCGTGTAATTTATTTGGGCCTCAAACTGTTGACATGCCGTAATTTGTAGCATTTTAGGTTTTTCAGGCCTATGTCATTCATTATATTATGCAAATGTGAGTCTCTCAGATAAAAATTTAAGATTTATTTTGCAAAGCATATTTGCAACTTCACACAAAAATCGTAGAGTTCATTACAACTATTTTCTGTGTGAAAATATCACAGAGAAATTTAGATGCATGAATTAACCTAAGCAAGACATGTGTTTGCTATGCAATTGTGCAATAATCTTGTTTTTCTTTTTATTAATGATTTATTTCATATTTTTATTTGCAAGGCATATTTACTGAGAGGAGAGAGAGAGAAAGTTCTTATATCCCCTCCTATATCCTCTAAATGATAGTGACTGCCAGAACTGAGTCAATCTGAAGGCAGGAGCCAGGCATTTCCTTTGGGTCTCCCACATGGGTACGGGAGCCCAAGGTCCTGGACCATCCTCTGTAACCTTCGCACGCTATAAGTCCAGAGCTGAATTGAAAGTGAAGCAGCTGAGACTTGAACCAGTGTCTTATGGGATGCTGGCACTTACAGGTGGGAGATTAGCCTGTTGTGCCATCACACCAACCCCAATCATGTTTACAAGAGTAACTTTTCCTTCTCACCTCTTGTTAAGAATCTAAAGTCCAAGTCAGAATCAAAGATAGAAACCTGAGGTTAAATCAGAGGGTATATCATATAATCAGCTGATGAATATCAAAAGCACTGATTTTACATATACAATTGATCAATAGTAAAGCCCAAAACAGTCCATCAACACTCTTCTGCAGAATGTCTCCTTTATGTGTTTGAAGAAATACCTCCAAAGTAGAATTCAACTGATTGTGCTACTTAAAATAAACAGACAGAGGCTAAAGTAAAACAAGCATTACATTTGCTCTTTAGAGAAAGAATATTACATTTGGGTTATAGAGTTGTATTAATGTTATATCCACTCAAATGGATATACTTGATCATGACAAATTTACTTGTTTTGGAATTTTTCTATCTTAATGACTGAGCTCACAACCTGAATCTGAATTCATCCATCTATATATTAGATTAATTGAATCACTACATATTTCAAGTTCGTTTTTTTTTCTTTCCTAGACATATATTTCAAGCAAATGATATGACTGTTCCTCTTTGAACCCAGGTACATACTAATGCATTTTGGAAAGCAGCAGAAGATGGCCCAAGGGCTTAGGTCCTGGCACTCCTATGGGTAACCTAAATGGAGTTTTTGGCCTGGCCCAAAAGCCTTTTTGCCTTTTTGGGGAGTGAACCAGCAAATGAATAATTACTCTGTTAGTTTCCCTCTAAATAAGCAAATAAGCAAATAAGCAAATCTTTTTAAAAAAATTTCTCAGCTTTTAAAAGCTTAAGCTGGGAATCAAGATGGTAAAATAGGATAAGGACACGTTTAAACAGCATTAGCCAGGATGAGGCAAAGAGGGCACATTCCAGGAAATAGGACAGGACAAAGCAATGGCAGAGTGGCACCTGGTGGCTGAAGGACATGGGACAACAGTGGAAACAACTGTGTGGTGTTGCAATGACCAGATACTCCAGTGGCAGTCATTGAGTAGCAAACTGAGCTCCACTGGTGGCCAGAGCTCCACCAGCAGTCAGGTGGGAAAAAGATTTTCCCCAGGAGCTCAGGAGGTGAACCCAGGCAAAGAACTACCCATCCTGCTGGTTTGACCAAGAGCAGAGATGGAGCAGCAGATCTCAAAAAGGTGGTGTGGAAACAGGGTGGGTTTCACAGCCTAGACACCCAACAGATTCGAATCAGGCACCATTTGGGAAAACAGCAGAGGATGGCCCAAAACCTTGGAACAATGCACCCACATGAGAGACCTGGAAGAAGCTTCTGGATTCAGATCTGCTCAGCACCAGGCACTGCAGCTACTTGAGGACAGAACCAACAGATAGAAGATCTTCCTGTCTATCATCCTCTCTGTAAAATTCCCCCTCCTATAAAAATAATTAAATATTTTAAAATAAATTAATTTAAAAGCAGAATATCTAATACAACCAAGTGTTGACATTAGTATATGGAAATTGGAACTGTCATACTTTATAGTGTAGCTAATTTGAAACTGACACACCCCATATACAAAAAGTTCTAGCAAGTTCATTTTTAAAAAATCATTCATTTAAGAGCATGGCATTACAATCTAGTGGCTAAATTCTCATTTTGCTACCACTGGGATCCAATATATGTGCCAACTGGTGTCCTGGCTAATCCACTTCCCATCCAGCTCCATGCTTGTGGCCTAGGAAAGCAGCAGAGTATGGCCCAAAGCCTTGAGACCCTGCACCCACGTGGGAGATCTGGAAGAGACCACAGAGTCTTGCCTTCAGATCAGCTAAGTTTCGGCCATTGCAGTCGCTTAGGCAATGAATCATCACATGGAAGATCTTCCTCTCCATCTCTCTTCCCCTCAGTATATCTGACATTCTAATAAAAATAACATAATTTTTTTTTAACTGTTGCTTATTTGAAAGGCAGAGTTACGAGAGGATGAGGAGAGACAGAGATCATTCATCCACTGGTTCACTCCAAAAATCACTACAATGGCTGCAGCTGGATTGGTCTGAAATCAGGAGTTAGCAGCTTGAACCAGCACCCATATGTGATGCCAGTACCACAGCAAACAGCTTTACCTGCTATGTCACAGCACTGGTACCCCTACTAGAGTCTTATAAGCCTGTATACCTACACTACAACCCTGCACGTCTGCATTTCTGTGTGCAAGTAAGAGAAAAACATATATTCAGAAAGTCAAGGGTAACTAGAGCACCTTCATATAAGTCTCAGATTGGACAGCTCTGGAATCTCTCCGTAATTGGATATTTTAAATCACTGGTGTATTTGTGCAATGGATTTGTATTTTGCAACAAGAGGGGCTGGTGTTAAAGGTAAGCTTCTGCCTGCAATGGCAACATCCCATGTGAGTGCTCGTTCAAACCTTTACCTTGCCCCTTCCAATCCAACTCCCTGCTACTGTATCTGGCAAGGCAATAGGGGATGGCTCAAGTGCCTGGAGCCCTGTGACCTCATGTGACTTGGATGATGGAGATCCAAGCTCTTGTGTGGGGCTGGTGCAATGGAGTCATCTGGGCCAAGTGGAGAGTCAAACAACAAATGGAAGATTCTGCCTCCTCCCAGCCTCCTAACCTTGTGTGTGTGTGTGTGTGTGTGTGTGTGTGTGTGTGTGTGTGTGTTTTAATTCTGCCTTTCAAATAAAGAAGCAAATCTTTTTTAAAAACATTGACACGGAAAGGATACAAACTGCTGATTCATGAAGACTAGATGCACCTTTTTGGTAAAGGTGGCATTTTTCAAAGATCTATGTATATTTGAAAGGCAAAGTGACAGCAAGCAAGGGGAGCAGAGGGAGAGAAAGACAGATCCTCCATCCACTGGTTCCCACTCTCCAAATGCCTATGCCAGCTGGGGCTGGGCTAGGACACAGCCAGGAGCCCAGAATGCCATGTGCGTCCCTGACTTTGGTAGCAGGGACCCAGGGACGCAGACCAGCAGCTACTGCCTTTCTCACTGCAACAGCAGGCAGCAAAATAAGAAACACAACAACCAGAACTCACACAGAACGACACTATGACATGTGGCCCTTCAGATCCACTCAGCCCCAACCATTGTGGCCACTTGGGCAATGAACCGGCAAATGGAACACCTTTCTCTCTGTATCTCCTTCTCTCTGTAAATCTGACATGCCAATAAAAATCAGTAAATCTACATAAAATAAATAAAGCTGTAGTAACTAAAACCACATGGCACTGGCATGTCCAATGCAACAGAACAGATACCCACAAATTCAGCTATGTGCACACGAGTGGTTGCTTTCTGACAAAAGTACTTAGAACATATATCTGAAACAAACAAACAAACAAACAAAACAAGTATTACTCTCTATCCCTAACTTCAGAGAAACCTTGTGGGGGTCCTTTGATTCAAGCAGAAGGTTTTTTGAAATAAATCACTCAAAACTGTCTCCAGCTCTGATTGGACCATGTCCTGCTCTGACATCATACAGAACCATTTACAGGTCACAATTCCAAAGCCCTAGATAAAGCCCTGGCCGGGCCTGGGCCTTTTGTCCAGGAGCTCTCTCCACTGGAGAGCTCTAGGACCAGCACTAAGCTAGCTGTTTGTTTTTTTTTAAACCTCTTTTGTTTGTGCCTGTTTTGTTTATTTGTTCTCTTTTCTAATTTATTAATTTTGTTCTTCCCTCTTAATTTCAGTTTCTATTTCGCAGTGTGTATTTCTTTTCCTTAGACACATCCTCATTCCTTCTCAAAATTTTTGAACTTTGTTTTGCCGCTTAGTTTTTATTTCCATCATTTTATTTGTTTACATTTTTTTTACATTTTTAAAACTTTTAATTTCCATTTCTATTTGTGTTCCATTTTGCATTTTCTGTTCTCTTCTTGCAATTTTCATTTTTCCGTTAATTTATTTTTAAGGTTTATTTCTTTCTTTCAGATTTACATTTTTTTTTAAATGAGAAGTGAGGAAGTGTCTAAGGAGAAGATGGAGAGACCTATAAGGTCTAGCATCATGTTATTCTTAACACCTATTTTGCACAGGGTATCTATTCTCTTTAGTAATATTTTTGATACCTTTATTGCTGCAATATTTAAAAAATCATTTACACCATCATGTTGTTCTTAATATCTATTTTCCTCTATGGTATCTTTTCTCATTATTGATATTTGTGATACATTTATTGCTGGAATATTTAAAAAATTTTTACACCATCATGTTGTTCTTAACACCTATTTTGCTCTATGGTATCTTTTCTCATTTTTTATATTTATGATACCTTTATCACTGGAATATTTAAAAAATCTTTTACAGCATCATGACATTCTTAACACATACTTTGCTCTATGGTATATTTTCTTATTATTAATATTTTTGATACTTTTATCGCTGGAATATTTTAAAAATCTTTTACATCATAATGTTATTCTTAACACCTTTTTTGTACTATGGTATATTTTCTCATTATTAATATTTTTGATACCTTTATCGCTAGAATATTTTTTAAATGTTTTATATTTGAGCAATATTAGCATAATAAGCATTGTTTATGGACGTTGGCCTTATACTCATCCTACGTGATGAGTTGGCGTGAGCACTGCTCCACTGAGCAGTGAGTGGGTACCACAATGGAGAAAAAGATCAGCAATGGACTCCACATCCTCAGCACGACCAGTCGGCACAGGTACAACGGGCAACACTGGCCCACCGCATAGAAAGCAGCAACCAAGTAGCCACGTAAGTCACCCCAAGAACCAACAAGGATTCCAGGCTCCCAGCTTACGGCAAGTGGAGGTACAGGGCTTAGGCTCACACACCTGAGTTGGGGGTGAGACATCCCTTTAAAGTAGAAGAAGCAGAGAATTGCTCTCCTAGCATCTATGCCTGTCTGGCTCAGACACCTCATGCCTTCAGGACTACCTCTTGCACAGAAACGAAGGGGCCAGCAATAGGGATACAAGCCAGCACGAACATGTTACTGACTTGGATCTTAGGTTTCTTCAGCCTCTACATGCATTTTTGACCCTTTTCCCCAGAATAAGCTGCACTTCTCTGGGAATTAGGTTAGCACAGGGAGAGTCTGGTTGCATCAGTAGAGGCACATCAAGGAGAGTTCATGATTTTGCACAGTTATTCTGAGCTTTTATCTGTATTTGTCTCAGCATCTATTAACTGAAACACTGCTGACTTTTAAGGGGAAATTCTTTCTTGGCCCAATACCTTACAAACAGTTTTGTACCCTACTTCCTACTCATTATGGACACATGACACTCTGCACTAAAATCTCTACACAACAAAAACCAGAAATGTTCACGAAACATTGCAACGCATGTACATGTCCAAGTGCCCTACAGGTCAGAAACCTCCACCGAGCTGACAACCATGGAGATGTCTTAAGTTTATATCATGGTGTGCACCCTTCCATAGCTCAGCCTGTAGAGTGGAGGACTGTAGAGTAGAAGTTTATATCATCGTGGTTTCCTAACACAGTTTTAGACTCACACACACTCAGAGGGCGATTCACTTGGAACAGTGTTACCACAAGCCTGCTCTTCCTCCTCAAGTTGGTCAGTCTTGTGAAATCAGTGTTCTCTTCTTCCATCAGGAACTATCACATCTTGCGTGGATTGGCATATTTCCTCTCCTGATGTTGTTTAACTGCAGAGACTCAAACCCAAATATCCCTCTATAGAAGGATTCTTCTGCTCTCACTGGATTGTCTCCTCATTGGACCTAACAACACTCAGCCATAAGTATGCTTGAAACAACTGCATCATACATCTTTACCTGAACACCTAATGCCACAGAGTAAGTGTCCACGCTTTCACTGGCTTCCTGAGTGTGTATTTTCCAGGCATGATAGCAAAGAAAGTCAGCTTCTGGTGAAGAGTCAGGCTATGTGCAGCACTCTTTGCTAGGCAGCCTGAGCTGGCTGCACCTGCTGCTCAGCTGAACACCAAGTTGGGCCAGACCTAAATGTACAAGAACGCCAAGCGTTCTCCTCACGCAGGCATTTCATCCTCTGTGTTCTGTCAATTAAACCTCACTTGAGGTGCAATAAAGCTAGATGCTTCAACGTTTCTATAAAGATCATGACAGTTGTCCCCTAAGTAGCAACATTTTTTACACTACACTACTGTGACACCTTGGTTGAGAAATAGTGCTGAGTTTTATATGGCTTAGTTGTGAAGGATCCCAACCAGAACTGGAATCATTGGGTAGCTGGAAGGACCTAACCTGAATGGAGTCATTCATCTGAAGACAAGTGCCAGTTAGTGCTAACAGGACGATGTTAGTGAGCTCCTCAGTTACTAGTTTAAACCTTTACAGATCTACTTCAACTCAGAAAGAACTTCATCATCTTTGAAGTGCACAATCTATTTCCTGCTCCATTCCTTCTCTCGCTTCTCCTGGCACAGAGGGTGCCTGCCTGTTATTTCAAGGGCATTCCCAAACATTTGCCATCAGAAGATTCCTGAATGGCTCTTCTGGAGGACTCCAGATGACCAGGTTCCTCGAAATGTGCAGCACACACACACACACACACACACACACACACACACGTAGATAACTAAACGATTTCTTCTTTTAAAAAAATGTTTATAATTGGATTACTTGGTGCAGTTGCAAAATGGATATTTTGTGCACCGTGTCCTTATGACCATTTTGTTTGTACTGGGTGAACAACCAATACAAAGTGTTGGGGGATGGGAGAAGCCCACAGAAATTTTCACATGTAAAATTGAAGGAGTTGATTACTGTCATTTTGATCATGTGCCTTTTACACATCTGCAGCCCTTAACGAAGACTTTATGGATTGGAGCATGAGCACTTTAAAGCGATGTAAAATTATGGAGGAGCTACAAAGCTTATAAAGTGCTTCAATGTTACCAATCAGAGCAGTAGTGGAACCATTCCGAGGAGCTTGTAATACCATGCACAGCCTGCTCATCATCAGCCCAGGTGTCACTCCTGGGCACGTGGGGCTTCCAGCATTCCTGCCCAGAGACTCTCCATCACGAAAAGCAGAGGAGCCACTGCTGAGGAGCCGGGAGAGTTTCGGCAGTGCTGGCAAGCTCAAAAGCAGGCTTCCCGGAAGGGACTGCAAAAAGTCTGTGTGATGTGAATTTATGGTGAGTATTCTTGTTGGTGCACTTTCTCATTTTTGATTCTTGTATACTATGAGTCTAAAAAGTCCATGCAAGAATTTATGTATTATTCCCAGAGCCCCCGCAGGCCGAACTGGTACCTGGGTCTGCAGCTGAAGAGGCACAGAGCTGTGCCACGAGGCCAGAGCTGTGTGGGAGCATTGGCACTGCCCACCTTTAGACCAGGGTTTCTGCCATGGCCTTGGCATGAGCAGAGCTGGAGGAGGAGGAGGTGGGGCTGGCTCTGAAGCCAGATCCGGATCCTCTAGAGTGTGCTTGGGCAGGCCAGAGTCTGCTGTGCCTAGAGAGGAGCACCTACCACCAGGCCTCCTTCATCGAACTGCAACAGTGCACCTGATAAGATGCCCATGTCAGATCCTTACCTGCTCAGAGAAGTAAACTGGAGTCAGAACACAGCTACAGTGTCTCCACCCATCTCCCCCACACATCCTGAACAAGGCTTCCTGTGAGGCCTCTTTCTACTGCTCACTTCAATACAGGGGTTTTGCTTTGTTTCATTTTGTTTTGTTTTGTTTTGTTTTTAAGGTATTGGGCCGGCTAATGGAGACTGGAATCATCAATCCTGAACAGTGTATGACATCTTTTGAGCATATGAAGAAATCTGGCGACTATTAGGTTACAGTTGTAGAACATGTGACTATTGGATAGATTGTTGCTACGGAAACTCTGAGACTAGAACTTACATTCATCCATTCCTGTGCTGGGAGAGTAAAAGATTTTGTCCTTATTGATGACTGCAGAGGGAAGCAGCTCTGCACACTTATTAACAATTCTTACTTTGCCAAACAAAAAACTTACAAGATTACACTTGAATGTCTACCACAAAATGTTGGTTTCTATAAAAAATTTGGATATGCAGTATTTGAAGAAAACTACGTGTCATAGGTTTCTGAAGTGAAAAAGTATCAATACTACAAAATTTTACTCTTCGAGAAAACATTTTTGCTACAACTCTGACCTCCATAAATAGCGGACTCAAAGTCTTAATACAAGCATAACGACATTTAGAAGATTACTTTCGACTGGTGGGGCATAATGAGTTTAGATTTACAAACGAATATTATAAATGGGGTGATTTTTAACCAAAGCAATATACTTTTAACTTGAATCTTGTCTTTCATTGTTTTTTTTTCTGTAGTCTGGTTTCATTTCTTAGTAGTGAAATTGATAATAAGTTGCTAAATGTCTGTTATCTTTACTGCTCATTTTCCAAAAAGCGTGTATTACTATCCAAGTGGCCACAAAGGCTGGAGTTTAGCCAATCCAAGTCCAGGAACCAAAATCTTCTTCCATGGGTCTCCCAGGTGGGCACAGGGGCCCAAGGCTTTTGGATCAACCTCTACTGCAGTGGGAAGGGAAGTGGAGTAGCCAGGGTACAAATCAACACACATACATGATCCTGGTGGATGCAAGGCTAGAACTTTAGCCACGAGGCTGCAGCAACAGGCCCCTTACCCAATGCCTCTTTTCTTTTTTTCTTTCTTTCTTTCCTTTTCTTTTTTTGATGATGCTTACATAGTGAATCAACTATCGAGTGATTGAGGGTCAGAGAAAACTGGGTGTGATCATTGTTTCAAAGTTTTCCATTTCTTTTTCCTGTATCTGGTGGGAGGAGGGGAACCTCAGTAGAAGCCATACCCAGCTTCCCAACTGCCCCAGGGATGGGCAATAGCCACCAAATATTGACCTATGGTCCTGATGTGGCATATGCTCCGAGGGTTCTTCCCAGAAGGTTTCAAAAGTTCTGAAATGTTGTCAGTCTCACCAATTCAAAAGGAGGGAACACAGTCCACCCAAGAATCTCCATTCACCCAGATATTTGTTGTCATCCTTGAGCTGGGGTAGATGTCTAATCTGTTCTGTTCTCCTTCCTCTGCTATGTAACGGGTGTCCTCTGAAAGCCCAAATGGGCTTCCATAAGCTTTATGTGGATCTGGGCCAGCTGTCCATGAACTGTCTCTTTGCTGATGAGGACTAGTTTGTTCAGGTGGACACAAGGACCCTAGCAACCTGGATCCCACCAGACCCACTACCACAGGGGCTAACAGACCCAGCAACCTATGTACAGCCAGGTCAGGTAATCAGGCAGGTAGCTTGGGCCTTGAGAGACCACCTACCCTGGGGCTCATGGACCCAGCACCCACTGCCTCTAGATTGGTTTGGTTCACTACACCTTGGCTTCCATCAGCAGGTGCTTCAGCCCAGCTCACTCAAGACCGCTTCTTGTTACAGTTCCTGCTAAGGTTGCTGCAGCCTGACCTGGCTCAGCCAGCCCCCGGTTCAGCCCTGGTGTGAACTGGTTGGTTGCAGTCTGACCCGGTCCCTCATGCAACCTGTCCAGGTCTTCAGATGTGCTAGTGGTTGTTATGAACTGGCCCAGCCCCATCTGCCTCCCTAGACCTGACCCACATGTATGATAGTCAGTAGTGCAGCCTGTTTGGCTTTGGGATGCTCCCTGCATTGATTTTTGCACTCACCTGCTGAGACTCTGTCCTAGCAAAGGAGTTCCACAAGCTCTTCTATTAGTTCACTTCCTTGTTGCAGATATTGCATACAACAACGGGTCCTTAGGTTCAGGTTTACTTTGTCCACACAATGTTCTGGCACCAACAGTGTCCCTGACCAACTGGCCCATACCCAATCCAGTTCTTACTGTTGAAACCAGTAACATAATATCTTAATTCCTAGGCTAAACACCTGTCCCTGAGTTTAGCTTGTAATGTCACATTCCATGAAGATTATGAAGTGCAGTCATATTCTTTCTTGGCTTTAAAAATTTTTTTGCAAGTTTGGTTGAAAGGCAGATACACATACACATATACACATCACACACAGGTAGAGGACAGAAAGCTCTCCCATCAGCTGGTTTAATCAACAGGGAAAACTGGGGATCAGTCAGGTCAAAGCCAGAAGCCAGGAACTTAATCCCAGGTCCAAGTACATGTATAATCTTCTGCTGCCACCTAGGCTGTTCATCAGCAGGAAGCTGGGATCAGAAGCAAAGTTCAGGACTTGGACACAAGCACTTGGATGCAGTGTAGTCATCGCAATCAGCGTCTTACCACAGTGCCAGCACCTGCCCCTGTGATTAGGCTACGCATCGTCTGAAACAAACACTAGCACACTGACTTTGAGAACTTGGTGGGCACCAGGGCAATGGAGAGGAGGTAGGATGAATGTGGGCAAGGTGGTTGTGTCATTGCAAATGGAGACACACAGAGATGATAGCTGCTGAAAAGCAGGTGCTTTTAACAGAGGCTACAACTTTGCCAGCACCTATTCTGCCATTTCTTTTTGCCTAACCAGTAGTTCACACTTGGTGTGCTGGTCTTTGGTTTGTATGTTTTACAGCAACAGCAAATCCTGCATCTATGAAACAGGAAAAATAAAAATAAAACATTTGAAATGTAAAATATCCCGCTGGCTTGTCATGTGGGATTAACAACAGCTCAGGCATCATTTACGTTTTCCCATGGATTTACACAGCTGAGATCCGTCCTGAAGTGACTCCCTTCTGTGATGGCTGCAAGTGCCCAGCATGCCAAATCCAAACAACTGGAGTTACTTCAGGAAGGAGAGGGCAGTCTTAAATCTGAACAGGTTAAAATGTGCAAAAGTCAGTTCAATGGCAAAAAAAAAAAAAAAAAAAAAAAATCCTGGGTCCACATTTCCAGGATTCTCATCTCTCCCATGTGTTTTTTCCTAGCATGTACCTCATTCATTCCACTCAACAGCATGACATGTGATTTTAGAAAGTTAAAGCATTACAGAGCAGGAGGGGACTCCAGAGCAGAACAGGAGGATAAAAGGAGGTCCGTATCCTAGTCCTGGAGACTCCTGAAGGCCTCCCAAGTGCTTTTGCTACAGAAAGAGTAGACACTTCATCAAGGATTGTCAGTATGGTGTCCGTATCCATGGATGTCCCTACGCAATATTTCGTCCCCCAGAGCTCACTGGCAGGCAGCCAGCGGTCAAAGCCCAGTGCCCAACTGGCACACTGGCCACTGACAGAATAAAGATGGGTGGGCTGCTTCCTCCGTTCATCAGCCAAAATTGACCGATAAAGCCGAGTTCTGCTTTGCATACCCAACCCACCCATAAGGTTATTTTTATTGGCCTCTTTTGTTTTATCACTATAATGGCATCTGTATATTGTTTGTATTCCTTGATATTTTTTATCTGTGTCTGGGTGATGTGATCAGTCCCCCCCCATTGATGGGGAGGTGAGCATATGCAGATCTCATCTTTAAATGAAAGCCCCACTTCATTGCCTGGATAGCAGCCTGTCTGTGACTACAGACAAAGCAAAGCTTGCCACTTAATTTTGATTGTCAACCCTGAGCTGCTTTTCTTTCCCAGGAGTCTGAGTTCTACAGGAACACGATTAAAGTCCCCACCCAGGGTTCCTGTGGGACCCTGCCCAACAGCTGCATGCTCCTTTGAATTGATGTCAAGATCTTCTGGAATGTCGACAGTCTGATTTCTGAGAATGGTCTTCGTTCTCACAATAGATGTGAAGAGGGTGATCATTTCTTTAAAATTTTAATTCATTTGGAGGTAGAGAGAGGAAGAGCATCACAACTGCTGTTCACTTCCCAAGTGTCTAAGGCTACTGACTGCCACCGATGAGGGCAGTGGAGAGGGTCTCAAACTCCTGTCTGCAGCACTGACCAAGCCCCAGCCTGGTGTTTGGGAGGTGAACAGCAGATGTGATTTTCTTTCTTTTTTTCTCTGTATCTAGCTCTCAAATGAATAAATTAAAAACCCTCTCCATTACCACTCTCTCGCACAGTCCATATCCCCAGAAGCTGGGGTCAGGAGTCAGAGCCATGTATGGGACTCAGGCATTTCAGTGTAGGATGCAGGTTTATTAAAATTACTGATGTTCTCAAATGATTTACATTTTTGTTTCACTGATGTTTCCAATTGTTTTGTATTTTATGTCTTCT